TTGACCCAATCCGGTTTCGGATTGGATCCGGTTTTGAATAGTGAAACCGGTTTTTGTGTGCATCTCTAACCCTAATCCACCATACGATATAAATAGGTCTTTGGCACATGAATTGGCACTAGTGTGTGTAAGAACAAAGGTTGGCCAATTTCTACAAGTGCATTCTATTCTCTCAAGCTTTCAAAGTTGGTTTGGTGATTTGTGATTCCACTTGAGGCATTCACAATATTGGTGCTAGGCTCTTGAAGCTCCAAGTAATCAATCCCATGAAAATGTATGTTATTCTACTAAAATTTTATATTATAAGTACCCCATAACATGCGAGTTAGGTTGAGAACCTTGGAAAAATCAAATTTGCATTATATTAGAGAAAACGTAGATCCAAGGTTTCTAGGGTTGCATGTACACCATAGGAGTGTTAGAATGCTCAAAACCCATCAATAACCTTCTAGAAACTTGGAAACAACTAGAAACAATGGATAGTGTACTTAGATTTCACATTGATACATGACTTCTATAGTTACTTTAACTGTAACAACTATTCAAATTTGGGTTATTCCTTGACTTGAACACCTTTTGATGAATCATATACACTCATCATCAACTTGACCTAGTAGTAGAAATTAGGTCAAAGTCTTGTAGAAACTTAACTCAAAGTTGAAACTATGACTAGTATACTTAATTTTTCAATTTCACTTGAATCTTGGAATCACTACATAGAAATGTCAATAAACCGATAAAAACAAATTTCAAGCATTATTTATAACTAGAAAAAAGTTATAATACCATAAAATAATTTGAAGTCTCAAAAATTCAATTTATTATGATATCCAAAGATTCATTAAATTCCAAAACCCTAAAACCCTAAAAGCCCTCTCAACCTAAATTTTTGTAAGTTAACACCATAAACTCTATAAATAATTATGGATCTCTATATATCAATTGAAAATAATTAATTACGGAAAATTAATCAAGGAAATAAAAAATTATAACATTAACATTTAGCCCTAATTTATAAGCTAAAAAAAATGAAGGATTTTTATTAACAAAAACAAGACAAATGCACCTTTATAAAATTATTGATAATTTATAGAATTTAAAAGGAATTTATTTGACATTAAATGAAAGAGAGAGGGAGCCTCTCTCCTTAAAAATCGGCCCCTCCTCCTTCCAAGAGAACTCTTCCCAAAAACATTAATAATTCTTCCAACTCCACACTCCATCTTCTTCTTCACTTCTCTCTCTCACTCTTCAATTCCACCACCACATTTTCTCTCACCCTCACTCTAACCCATGAAGTACTCCAGCAAATAAGTCCAAGAACACTCAAAATACTCAAATCTTCATCATCTAGTGGAGTTTATTAAGGTTGAACACGATTTTCCTTCATCTTCCTTCAAGTTTTACATGTTTTCTTGCATTTCCTTCTTCTTCTACACCTTTCTCTTAAGAAATTCATGTGCATGTTCACGCGCTTCAGTTTTGATGATGATGCTGGTAGGATTTCACCAAAAGCAACATGCATGTTGCGAATGGTGAAGTCCCATGACCCAAATCTATGTCAAACTCAAAAACACTCATTTTGATACTAGTTTTCATGGAGAAATCACAATATGAACCAAAGTTTTCTTTCAAAAATGAATTTTGAACATTTCAAACTCATGAATGGTCTTCAAACCAACATACATGTGATGATCTTCAAGCTTAGATGCTAGATGATCATAGTTTGTTGTTAGAAGCTTTCAAATATGTTCATAAAAGATTTATTCATAAATAAATATCTAAAACTTCTTTAATGATCGAATTCGATTTTTCCCAGAATCCCACCAAAATAATGAAAAGTTCTGCAAATTTTCAGAAGATAACTTAATTTTATCTAATTACTATAGTTATTGCAAGAAAATATAGAAATAATTCACATAAAATACTTTTTGCGGTCAATAAATTCTGGAAAATTTCTGATATTACCCATACACCTATTAAAGACATTCCATGAAGGTTTCATGCATTTATATGACCATATTCTATTGATTTCAAATTTATTTTTGTTGAAGAGAAATAAATAGTAAAATTAAGTAATAAATGTCCAACGACATATTTAATAATTTTCTCATATTATGGACATCATAAAGACGACATGCATAAATGTACAAATTTTTCCATGAGTATTTCTTATTTTTCCCGATTTAATGAAGGTTTAATGGATTAAATTAGTAATAAATAGCTACACTTGTCCAAAAATTATACAACTTTACCAAAATATCTTATAATACATATTAATTGTGAATAAAAGTTTAAGGAATTTCTCTTACTATTTATTAATTTTTCATGAATTAATGCTCATTTATGAGAATAAATTAGGGAAAAATAGTTAAATTGTTCTAAAATTATAATAAATTTCCATAACATCGTGTATTACAGTTTAACCACAAATATAAAGTTTGGGCAGTTTTCTAAATAGTTTAGTATTTATTTTCATTTTTAATAGAATAAATACACAAAAATCATAAAAACAGGTTAAGTGGTTCAAAAATCATTTTTGATATTTTTGCCAGTTTGTATACATCAAGTAACAATTTTACAAAAATTTGAAGAATTATCGAATCCTTTTGCTATTTATGCTATATTTCTTACATTAAATACACATAAATCTAAAGTTCGGACTACGTTATATGAAAATCAATTTTGGTAATTGTCCTAGCTTATGTACACTGTATATGAAGTTTACAAAAAGTTTGGTAGTTTTTATTTACTGTTTAATAATTATTCATAAATTAATGCTTATTTAAGTTAATAAAACAAAGAAAATATCTACACTGTTCGGAAACCAACTTTTATATTTTTTCCCAACTTTTATATGTGTAATAACACTAGTACAAAAAGTTTAGAAAATTTGAGAAACTCTTGTCTAATTATCTCTATTTTTGTTAGAATAAACCCACATAAATCATAAAATTATACCAAACCTAATTTTGAGACAATATTGGCATAATTTTATTGTATAAGTTAAGTATACTAGTATTAGATTTCGATTAGAGACTCATTAGTGTGTAACATCGTTGTAGGAATCAGTAGTGGTACAAGTGGAACTTAGTTTAAGGAATCATTTGCATCATCTCAAAGCATTGTGAGTATTCACGCCTCCCCCAATTTTCAGTTTTTATGTTTTGGGGTGGAAAAGCATGTCCAAAAACTATTTACTGTTCGTTGTATTAAATTTTACTTGTATCAAACATGATTGCTATATTTTGCTATGTATGTCTATGCAACTTGAAACATGAGGCCTTATCGTCTTAAGTTCCTTCCGTTACACTTTACTCCAACCATTAACTCTTTTAGCCAATGGTCATTGTGGATAGCGTTATTAGGACTTAACAACTCCTCACTCGCCTGATTGCTGGAGTGCATGATACCGTATAATCTATGGAACGATAAGCAAAGATCTTGATAGGGAATTAGTCGTAGGATTGGTTGTGAACTCATTGTTAGCTCATATACGTACAAACAAGTTTACTTATTATAGCAACGGACTTTGTTTCTCATTATAGCAACGGACTTTGTTTCTCATTATAGCAACGAACTTTTATTACTGGAAACGCATTTACTTGTATTAACAATGAACTTGTTTGCTCCTTGTAGCAACGAACTTGATTGCTTATTTTAGCAATGAAAGTTGTTTACTCGTTTTAGCAACAAACTTTATTTCCCATGAGGATATGAACGTTGCATCTCATTTGGGCAACATACTTTATTTCTAATGATGACATCGAAATTTGTTTATGGAAACTTATTTACTCAATTTAGCAATATACTTTTATTTATGGAAACTCCTATCAAAACTTTGATTACGATTCATGAAACCAATATTATTTTTAACCTGTAAACTCACCAACTATTTTTATAGTTGACGCCTGTTTTACATGCTTTTTTCAGGAATCACCTAGTAAGCACGTAGAGACACAAGACTTGTAGGAGCATTTGCATGTGTTGTCTTTCAAATACATTGTAAATTATTTTAAAAAGTTGTTCAAAGTCATTGTAAATTGTAATGCTTTTTAATACTATGGTTGGTGTTGTCTTTTAACTTTTGATATGAGACCCTTTGTACTGCGACACCCTGTGTTTCCGCTTTAGCGGGGTGTGATAGGCTGCCTTACCACTTGTAACACCGCTGTCGACGACACCTCCATGTCACAGCCTCCGACCACCGACGATAACACTCACATCCGTCGTCGGAGTTTCAGATCTGGAACCACTGATGCCTCGTCGTTGTCGTTGTTGTGGTGAACCGCCACCGTCGTCTTCGTTTCCTCCTTTCATGATATATCTGCTCCGGCAAGCCACTACCTTTTCTTCAAATCTTCTCTGGAGAGCCGCCAAAACCACCAGATTTTCACTAAGATAGGGTAGATCTCGAATGCATCAGATCTGGACCTTCTTCCACTCATATTTGGAATCTCCCACGACTTTCCAACACCACCACCACAAACCTCTGACACATCAGATCTGTTCAACAACTACATCTGAACATCCACCTCCAATCGTTTCCACTCGTCGTCCAAAACCACAAGATCTTCGGATTTGCAAGCTCTGTTTCAGATCTACGATTTCTAGCACCACCGATGTCAAGATCTGTGAGCTCCGGTCCTGATATATGATTTTCGCCATAACAAATGTCCAGATCTTCGAGCTCCTACGAGATCTGACGTCGTCTTCTTCAAGTTAAACATCTGGTTTTGTGTTCTTCATCTCAGATCTCTGAAAGTTGTTTGCTATTTTTTCTCTCAATATCTGGATCTGCTCTTGCTGTCAAACCTCGTCGGAGAACCAAACAACGTCGCATGAATTCAGAAGTTGTTTGTTGTTTTTTCTCTGATGTTTTATAGTGATTATGGATCTGATGTATGTGGTGCACACAAAGTGTTTGATGAAATACCTCAACGAAATTTGGTAAGTCATTAAGCTGTGAATATTTTTATTTATTTATTTGAATATGTAAGTTGTTAAGTTGTGAATGTATATTTTTTTGATGCACTAACTAGTGAATTAGTGTCTGAAATATTGAATTAAGTTGTCAGTTAGTGTTTGAAATGTTCTATTAAACTGTGAATTCTGATTTTTCTTTTATCCAAATATGATTTTTGAGGAAGGATGTTAGAGGTGTTGCACCGATGGTTGGTGATGGCGATGGTTGATGGCAGTGTATGGTAGTTAGTCGTGTTGATAATGATGGTGGTGGTATAGTAAGGATATGTTCTATTTCGCACTCATCTTCTTTGTTGATTCCAGATAAGTTATCATCTTTTATGATTAATGTATATATTTTTATTTTGATGTTTGCTTCTGAAATATTAGATAATTTGTGTATCTATTAAACAGTGAATTAATTGCTTAATACACTGAAATATAAGATTATACTTGTAAATAAGCTATGAATGTATTGTATTAAATTGTGAAATTTATAGATTAAGCTGTGAATTTTATTCACGACTTAATATACTAAATTCACAATTTAATACATAGATATGTCTCCATATATGAACGTATAAATGTAAGTTTTAATTTGAGGATATGGATGTGAATATATAGTTTTTGTGTATTAAACTGTGAATTTATTGTATTAAGCTGTGAATTTTGTGTATTTCACTTAAGATTGATTATATTAAGAATTTTAAGTTGATAATATGACTGTGAATTTTATACTTTTTGTTTATTAAACTGTGAATTTATTGTAATAAGTTGTGAATTTTATGTATTAAGCTGTGATTTTTATGTTATAAACTGTGAATTAACTAAATTAAGCTGTGATTTTTTTTAAACTGTGAATTGACTATATTAAGCTGCTAACTTTGTATATTAAATTATGATTTTTATGTTTAAAATTTTAAATTGACTACATTAAGTTGTGAATTTTCTGTTTAAATTGTGAATTAAATGTATTAAGTCGTGAATTTTTAATGAATTTTGTGTTAAAATATGAATGATTTATATATGAATGTTTGTATTAATTTTATTGTGAGTATATTTATTTTTTTGTGTTGTATAAATATGTAACAGTATTTTTCTTATAATTATTTTGTATTAAACTCATAATAAGTGAATCAATCAGTTTATTAAATTGTGAATATAGTATTTAACTTGTCACTTAATGATTTTATACATAGATCTAATTTAGAAATAATGATGATTACAACGGTGACGCATGTCGTTGATGGTGGTGTTTGGTAGTTAGTGGTGGTGGTGGTATAGGTTGAATTTGACTGCTTTATATATGTGAATTAGTGTATAATGTATTGTAATATGTTATGTTGTGAATTTTATGTATTAAACTATAACCAGACTGTATTAAGTTGTATATTTATATAAATTTTATGTTAAAATATGAATGAAGGTATGCATACAAATATTAAATTGCATATTAGTGAATTAATATATTTATTAAACCATGAATAATGTATTTTAAATTATGAATACAACTTATACACAATATATATTTTATAAATATATCTATAATTTAGAAAAAAAAATGAATATAGGCATAATTCTATTTTATTTTACTAAAATTTCGTATATATTTTGGTTGGAAAAATAAAAAGTATTACCAAAGAAATGAGAGCTTTAATGTTTGTTCTATTAACTTGTTAATATTACCAAAAAATGCCAAAGAATTTAATGTTAGTCCGACGGTGGTCCGACGATGGTCCCACGGTGGACCGGCGACAAGTGCCAAGTAGTTTGTAAATAAGGAATGAAAAAGTTTTCTTAATACAATATAAATGTTGGATTAGTACAAAATGTCATTAATGAAAACATTTAAAAAAAGGTTCTTGTGTTCTTAATTTTTATGGGTTCTCATTTTAACCACTCCATATATATATATATATATATATATATATATATATATATATATATATATATATATATATATAA